AAAATTTGATTAGTTAATTTATATAAACCTATTAGTTAATTTTATTTTATAATTTTATATTTTAATCTTTAAAAATTCATATTTTAATGAGTTTTTAACCTATTTTAATAATTTTACTATTATTAGAATCAGAAAGACCTACTCTATAATTTTTATTTAATAATTAAAATTAGGTTACTTAATATAATTTTTTATAAAATTAAATATAAAAAAAATTTACCATTAGATTTATATATAATTTTAAAATATTGCCTTCTATCCTTAAATGATTGTCAAAAAGAGCTTTTTGAATATTTTAAAACAATATTGTTTGTAATATTATTAAAAATATCATAATAATTGATAAAGTATATATAATAATTAGTTTAATTATAATTACAGAATAAAGTTATACAAAAATTAATATTGCATTTTTTGTAACAACTTTTATATATTAAACTTTCTAAATAGTAGGTTTCTATTCTTTGCAAGACTCTAGAATGTTTAAATTATTTTTTAAATAGATTTAAAGTAAGAAACTCTAAATAGCTATATAGTAAAATATAGTAATTATATACAACATTCATGCAATTTTTGAATTATTAATAATATTTTATCTAATATAATTATAATCTTTTATATATATTTAAAATTTTATAGGTTTTATTTTTTATTATTATTTTGTTCTTTTAATACTTAACAGTTATAATAATTATATAAATTATACAAATATTAATTTTTATTATAAAAATAATATTTTATTATATATATTTTTACTCTATATAACATATATTTTCAACTATTTAAAATTTTTTTTACTAAACTTAAAACTAATATATAATAAAAATTATAATTATATAACTAATAAATTGATAATTAAGTACATGTTTGCTAAAATGTTTAGTTTTACATTTATCAAACTTATACCTTTATAATAATTACTAATGCTTTTAGAATTACAGAAATTTAGTTTTTTAATTCTAATATCATTAGTTCTTATTATTTTAATCTTTTTTTAACTATTAAATAAATTGATATCTTATCTTTATTCTTTCAACAACATTATTATTTTTTTATATAATCTTTTTCTACATTATTATTTTTTATATTGATTTTTTTATATTGTTTTTTTTTATTATTTTTTTATATTATTATTTTTATATTATCTTCTTTTATACTATTTTCTTTTATACTATTTTTTTTTATACTATCTTTTTTTTATATCATCTTTTTTAAATTGTTTTCTTTTATACTATTTTTTAAATATTATTTTTTTAAACTATTTTATATATATTAGAATTACTAAAAAGAATAAATAATTAAAATGAAAATCTATATTTTAAAAGAGAAAATATACTATTAAATGAAGAACTTGAAAATTTAAAAATTCTGATATCTGCTTATTAAAACTAATTTTTAAGTATCTTATTTTTCAAGTTTTAATACAAACTAAAAAGAAGAAATCAAATTAGTCAAAAAAATAAAAAACTTAGCTATTTGTCTAACTTTTTACTAAGATTTTCTAAAAATTTAAAAAAGTAAATGAATTAACCAAAAATAAAACAAAAATACAAAAAAGAAAGCAGCCCAGAAATAAGCTAATTGGAAAGCTGAAAAAAATAATAAAGTAAATGAAAAAAAGAACAGCTACATAAAAAAGAAAGATGATCATGTGTAGTTATGTTGTGCTATACTTATCTGTATACCCATGTATAAATTTCCACATATAAAATACTGTATTGACATATCTAATGTGCACTATAATACCCCTCAAAATGTTAAAACATGGCATTTTTTGAGTAGAGTTTGAAAGATTATATTTCTAATTTTTTTTTAAAAAAATGGCGATTTTTTTTTATTGGCTGATAGTTAATTTGATGAATAATCTATTTCAATAAATTTCAAGGATAAATATATTTTTTCTAGAAATTTTTATATAAGCAACTCTTAAGTGCGTCATACTACCCACTCCACCTTATGTGTTAATTTTTTTCTTTTGTTACATCTCACAAACTATTGAAAAAAATATTGCGTGTGAAATTGCTATCCACTCAAATACGTAACACTCTGATTTTAGCTTAATATTATTTACATAACGATAATGAATCAAGTATGGGTAAATCTATATTAAGTAAAAACACAGGTAAAACATACTGTCAATCAATAATAGTGATAATGACAGTTAATTCCAGAACAAAAAAAAAAGCATGGAACTAACAAATATAATAATAAGTGGCTGATTATGAATAAGTTTAAGATAGAAAAAGACCAATAAAATATTCAATTGAATATCTAGCATACCAGTATGTACAATACATACATCAACAGGCAAATCTGACAAACAAACCAAATTAGAAGAAATCGAGCTATATATGGCAGCGAAAACCTGTGACACAGATCAGCAGTTAACCAATTTCAACAAAATACTTGGGAAATATATTGTAAAATCTCTCAAGGAAATTTTTGGAACAATTTCTAACAAAACGGAGGTTTGGATTGAATTTTCTTGTGTTATATCCGATCTTTAAATCTGATCTGTAACTTAGTGAATTTGCATTACATATACGAACATAAAAATTTTGCCAGTACGTACGATATTATTAGATTAGATCGTTACAACGACAAGCTAAAATAGAAAAACTTATGTGATAACAACAAGTTTAAAACCCATGATAACAAATATTAAGTTTTTGATGACCAATTATAGCATATCCAACTGCGATTTTTTTTTATTGCACTATTCAAATAGTATTTCAAATTCATGTATATGTTAGTGTACAAAGCCTTATGCATATAGAAATCCCAAATCATGAGAGAAGAGACACCCCACTTAACTTGCACGTAAACCATACTCTTCGTATTTCATACTCCATTTCTGGCACATGCAAATCAATACGCCTCGAAGTCTTATGGATTTAATCTTCATTGAGAGTTCAAACTGGCCGACTTGAATGACTCGAAACTGGCATGATATAGATCGTGACCAATATAATACGTAGATACATTACAACCAGGTCAGGTTTGGGCAATTCGGGTCGACCCATTCGGAACACCAGTTGCATTTGATATTTACAAATTCCAGATAAACATACTTTCAAAATTTTCTAACTTTAGAGTAGCTTTCTCTTCATACTTCATTTACTATATACTCTTCATTTAAACAAATTAAGTATTTTATTATTGTTACTCTTAAACAAATTAGCAAAAGTATATGCTATACTATTTGATGCTACCTCGAAATATTTTGTAAATTTACTCGGATTTTGGTCTTTAATCTTGCTCATGTTTTACGTCCATTCATTTTCTATTTAGGATATTTTGGAACAGCTTCTTAATGCAGGTCAAAAATTAAAAACTATGCTAAAATTATATAAGCTACTAGCCTGCGTAGTAATTTGCTATATAGCTAGTGCTTCGTCCTAAAAGTCTGAAGCGTTTCGCCTTTTGAGTTTCGGTTTCGGTTTCGTCCAAATCCCGAAACCTTCGAAACTAGGCGTAACCTCCGAAACTGGGCGTAACCTCCGAAACTGACGTAGCCTCCAAAACTGACGTAGCCTCCAAAACTGACGTAACCTCCAAAACTATGCGAAACCTCTGAAACTAGGCGAAACCTACCCACCTAGTATTATATTTATTAGGCGAAGCTTTCCGCTGATGATGAAAGGAGAAAGCTAAACTGAAGGATCTAAATATTTAAAATAACCGATTCATGTTCAGGAATGTTTATTTCATTATACTTACTCTAAATTAGTTTAATATAAGACTTATATTGACCTAATTTAGAGCAAATAAACATTTCCGAATCAGTTATTTTAGATCCTTCCTCCGGTTTAGGCTTCGTCTTTCATCATTATGTGGAAAGCTTCGCTTACAGCTGTTATCATTATTCCTGGGACGCCTTATAAAAAATTAACCGAATGATTATTCAGCCGATTCAATAAGTTATTGATTTCGACATGATCAATGTAACTTTTATTATTTAGAGAGACAATATCTTCAAAAATTTTGCAGTTAATTGAGTACTTTTAGCAGTGTTGTCACTTGAAAGTTTACTGGAAGGCCATTGGAAATAAATCAATAGTGTCACTGGAACTTCAAGTTTCAGAGATATTATTGATTTACTTCCAGTGGCCTTCCAGTGACCTTCCAAGTGACAACACTGCTTTTAGGCACGGTTGTAGCCAATAATAGTGAAAGATAATTTTTCTTTATATATTGGTAATGATGACCAATAATGTAATTATTTTACACAATTCAATTTGCATACGTATTACTATACATTTAAATAAATCTATGTTAAGCTTTTTTGTGTACCCATATTAAACTTAATCTCAGATTGCAACTCTTAAAAATACCAGTCAGGATTCTCTTCAATGAAAGTCTTAAAATATTTTATATATATCATTCAGGTTTAGTAGACTGGTTTACTTACAAGCGGCAAAAGTCTTTCACCATAGCCATATCTTTAAAATTGGTTAAGAACTCGACTTATTGAAGATTTGCTAACATCTAAGTGTTTAGCAATTATTCGAACTTATAACCCAAAATTTTTTTCGACTATTTTCCAGTGAATATGTTTCAGAGTTATATAGATATTGATTATCCGGCATTATCGATTAAGAATTGTCACTGTTGCACTGTAAATAGAGGTCGTTTAAAGCCTATATGTTCCACGTGAGTTTTAATTTACAAATCGATTAAATCGATTAGTAACCAATTTAAAACCCACGTACATACGTATGTACGCACATACCTGACTTTAGGCTATATCCGTAAATAATAAACGTACTAATCATGCCGAAATCAATAACTTATCGAATCAACTGAATAATTATTCGGTTAGTTTTTCATAAGGTGTCTCAGGAATAATGATAACAGCTGTAATAAATATAATACTAGGTGTGTAGGTTTTGCCCGGGCGAAAATTTCGGTTTAGGCCGAAACACTAATCGTGACCCAAATACAACGATTTTTATACCAATCGAATCCTCTCAATGAGAGGAATCGAATGATGTAAAATTGTCGATTTGGATGATACTGAAGTTTTGACTTATTTTAATATAGAAATTTTAAACTTTGTTGAGGTGTTTTTTTTTAGAGTTAGGTTAAAGTTTAGGGTTAGTGATTATAATAAAAGGGTATACATAAATTTTGGTAGGGTTTATATTTTCAAATCGAGACCCCAAATTTAAATATCATCCCGACTAGTGATGCGTCCCAATGATAGTCGTCACATTACCGTAACTTGCCGTAACTATAGTAAGTAATATAGTAAGACTATAGCACTATAGTTACGGCAAGTTACGGTAATGTGACGACTATCATTGGGACAATCACTAATCCCAACATTAGATCAATTCTGATTTTTATATCTTAATTAGTCTAAAAAAAAAAAAAAACATGCAAGATTTATTTGTTCAACTCTATTATCTAAAGGTCATCCAACCAAATTGTATTATTGCATTATTTTAACGATCACCACAGCAGTGTATACACAAGTCAGTTAAGGAAACTCAAATTAAGACAGTTTCTCAACCCTTGAATGTAAATGTTTAATTTTACATATGTATGATTGATATAGCTTTATAAATTAAACAATGAAGGTATTGATTAGGAAAGTTGGGAATCTGATGATGGGACAGTTCAAAGTCAAAAAATCTCGGGAAATCAAAACGTACACACAACATTGCTTCAGCTATCGAAAATAACACCAAGCTTTTGATTCCAATTTCCTAGATCTAGAACCATGGAAATGATCGTAAACATTCGATTGCTTGTTGCACAACAGATAGATTTAGCTAATTACAATGAATCTCATGTAGTGGTGCAGTTTATTGTTTGTAAAATATTATTGATGTAAACATTATTAATAAAAACAGGCTTCACAAACGTGATAACGGTACACTATTTGTTTGTGTACGTATTTTGATGAACATAACAGATAAACGAAGAAAATTAATAAATAATATCATAACAATAACATATCATAATATCCTAACATAATGGCATATATGTCTAACCAATTTTTTGAAAGTATTATTGTATAAATGTTTCAGATTAAAGCTGGATTTTTTTTTTTTATATGCTAAAAATAAGGAAAAAATAAAGTTTTTGTTTTGAAAATAAAATCATACTATTTGGATCATTATCCTCTATTTTCCATTGTATGCCATCCGCGAAATTCGTCCATGATGATACCAGTGCTTACAACGCCTCTTTCTCGAAGTGTGACGTCGATATATGTCTTTTCAAACAATTTCATTCTCAATCTTTGTACCAAGTTTTCTGGTGGAGGTACTCCAACAATAATTATAACAATGCTTCGTAACATGATATCTACAGATACACCAACATGCCACTCTTCTGAGGCGGGTCCTCCAGAGATATGAAGGAAAATGTGACATATTACGGAAGCACACGCAATAGTTCCAAGAAAAGTCATATAGTAAATGCCTATAGCTGTATTAAAATGGTTTAAATGTGATTGTATTTGGCTTCGAGACACAAAAATTGGTAAGAAGGAATAAGTGAAAGCTGTCCACCCGCAAATGATGAAAGAAGACAAAGTTATTATGAAAAAGACGGTGATAATGATTTGATTAAATTCAAAAATAACAATTAACAAAGTTGCGACGCAACAAAGACCACTTAATATAAGAGATACTACAGCAGTTTTGAATAGTGAAGTGTTCCAAAAGTCTCGTGGGTAAAATCTTTTACCAAGGTTCAATATACAGATACAGAGAGCCTCAGAGTATATTGCAGTCAGTAACAAATAAATATCGTAATACCATGACACGTAAGGAAAGTCAAGGAAGATGCGGGTATAGCCAAATACTAGAAGAGAAAGATTTAGGAATGTGCAAAAAAAGCTAATGAAAAAATTTTTGTCAGAATCGAGTCACAATTTTGTTATTATCATTATTACGTGACTATACCATGTGAATCTTAAAGAGTTAGGTGTTATTATCATTTGTCTTCCGATTAAAATGCCACAAATAATTGAGGTTACTGTCGCTAATGAAAGAAAAGCTATCTCGACTATTGCCATTGGTTTATATTTCGAGTTGAGATAACAAGAAAAAGAACGATTATGGTCGGAATATTATGCTAGAAATTAAGTTCAATTCCTTGAATAATAATATTTTTTTCTTCCATTAAAACTTTTACGAAAAAAAATCTTGAGATCGTAAAATGTATAAAATTCTAGCAACAAGTTTTATGGATTTATGGTGTGAATGAAACACAAATCTCTTACTTAAATGAAGTACAACATGAGTACAACTCATGTTCTTTTAAAATACAAAATAACATATATACCTATGCACAGGCTCCTCGATTGACTTAGTAAATTTATAGAAATTAACTACTTTTGTAGAGTACAAAAAGGTAACTATAATAAATAATATTATACATGCATAAATAATGGTGTAATCTTTAGCATTAACACATTTACATGGACAAATTCAGTAAATAAATGCGACTATCGAATCCTAGCTCGAAAATGGATTATCGTTATCGTTATTATACCCATGTGCAATATGCAATATATAACGATACGTAAAATATAATCAACTAACCAAATTCGGGCAGTGACGGACATTACACGATATTTTTTAGATGATTTGCAAGATAGACAGGAATTTGCAAATCCAAGAAAACTTAATGCATCTAGCATATCATCATTATAGCAATAGGTTTTGATACGATTTTCTGAACCCAACCATTATAGTTAATGCTGTCAGGGATATGTCTTCAGTTATAGTCGATTTTGGTTTGTTCATTTCAATGTGATTACATAATATATATATAATTAATTATTTTTGCTAGAAGATAAACGTATCATAAATACATATACAGTTAAAAATAACAAAATTTATTTTAAAAGAAGTATGTTATGGATTGCTTAGCATAGGTCAGGTTCTCTTGAGATGGCAATTCAAGTTACTGAGATTTTGAAATATGGTCCGGTGCAAAAGACTTGCACCTCAAAGAAATGCATATACTATTTTTTTTTTTTTTTTTTTATAAATCGTATCAATGTGTATGCTCGTAAATACAAAAACTTTAGATTCAATTTATATATTACCGAAATCATTAATATTGTCATTTTCTTCTTCAATTAATTGCACCTTTTTGTTAAGATCAAAATATTCCTTGGCAATTAAATGCTTTTCTCCAAAATCTGACTATAAATTACGATTTGAAAATTTTTTTAAATGCATTTTAAAAGTATATTATAAACAGAATAAAAAAATCAGACTATAAATTACGATTTAATTTTTTTTAAATGCATATTAAAAGAATATTATAAACAGAAAAAAAATTGTATGCACGCCTGAATGTGCAACTGGAAATATTTTTATCAGGTTAAAATTTAAGTCATTCAAGAGTTTTTTAGGATTGTATGCTATTATATATGGTTCAATTTGTTACTGTGCCACTAACTGTTCTTTCAAAAGTACCCAATACTTTAAGCTTTTGATAATCATCTCTTATGGAATCGGCTCCATAAAAGTAATTATAATATTGAATACCACTTTCGTAAATAGTGCACGGCATTGTAAATGTAAAGTAAAATGGTCGACCCTGAAGATAGGTTTATTACATCCTACTAAATGTGTAAATTTTAGACCGTTATCATAATTATATTTTTGCAATTACATCCTTTTTTGGTGAGGTGCAAATCTTTATGCACCGGACCATATTTTAATATTTAATTTTAAAAAGTTTTGGGGCCTTTTTTGTTAGCTTTTTTTTTTTAATTAGGTTAGGGTTTAGAGGTAGTTTTATTAATAAAAGGGTACAAGTGAATTTTAGTAGGTATTATAGATTTAAATAGAGACCCCAATCTCGGCTTCAGCCGTCACAATTATTTTGTACGTAGAATAATCAATTGAAACATTATTTTAGTCATATGTATTTCACAAATGATTTTGAAAGCCTTGAATTCTATTCTGTTTAGAGGTTGTGTTACGAAAATTACATTTTTTTCAATCCATGAAATTTTATTTAAGTTTCAGTGAATTGAGTATTGCCTGCAATTGATCATAATTATTAAATACATTTTGACTTTATAATAATTACAGTATATTTCATATAATTTTCTTATTTAATATGTAAAGTACAGTCATTACAAAAGTTTGGCCAGATTAATTTCATAGTTTATTACGGCACTTAAATGAAGAAAAATCACGATTACATGAAATCTAACTTATCCGAAACTTGTAAAAATTTTACTCTAATTTTGTTTTCTATATTTATACGTATTTACAGTTTTCTTTAAATATAGAATAATCAAATCTGAATAAAGTAATCAAACCCCATATAATAGCAATTAAGGATTGAAACCGTTTAACTGTTTAAAAGTATTCCATAATTCTGGCATTAGTTAGAATTATTTTAACGCTAGCTGAATTAAACGGTTAACATGGTTAAACGATTAGAAAAATTTTAAGTTGTTCCAATCCATAATATAATTATGTCCGGATTTGATTGCTTCGAACAAAAAAGAAAAATTAAAAATTTCAACATTTGTTTATTTTATATACAGCATATTGTGATCAACCAATATTGACATGAGTCATATCAACAGTCCCAGGAGTTGGAATATACTTAGAATCTAGATATTTTTGATACAAGAAATATCCTGCAAAAGATAATATTATACCAACAACAACGCCAGCTATAGCAATACCAATATAAATTCCAACATTAGATGATTTTTCTGTAGAAGTAGGAACAGGAGATACAGAAAAAGTGGACTTAACCCCAGCTGTTGTATAAGAGGTTGTTCGAGGTTGAGGTCGAGGTGTTGCACCCTTTGTAGTGGTGACAGCACGCGACTTTGCAGTGGTGACAGCACGTGAGGAGACACCCTTTGCAACGGGGGTAATGGTGACAGCACGCGAGGGAGCAACCTTTGCAGCAGCACTAGGCGCTTTACCTTCTGAAAATATAGATATAGATATGTACAATGTTATTTAGCTACACTGCTTTTTTCGTTTCTATACAAAATTTTTTAATCAAGTAACAATCCTATTTGGCTTATAATTATGGTCATAGTTATTGTTATAGAGCGAATCTTTTTATTAAATTCGCTTTAAAAAACATGCAAAAAGAAATTTTGTTAACTTACGGCATGAGGCGGACCTTATAAAAACCAAGAGTATCATAAGATAATACATTAATCGTGACATTACTATTTATGTTGTTTTTGGCCTTAGTTATTCGTTACTGTAATAAACAAAAATTTTTAAAAGTGGGCTAAGGGTGAGCCATTCGAGATATTTTATTTAAATATAAAATATATAAAAATTTATTGTAACAATAAATAATGATTTGTTGTACTAGATATCACATAATTATTAGAGTTAGTTAAACGATACACTTAAACTTTATAAATTTCTAGAAACTAATTTTAGATATCTGTTCCTCTAAAAGTAAACACAAAAAATACCATTCCTGATGGATCGTCGGCACTGGTTCTAAAAAGAAGGGCATCTTTACATAATGGTTAGAAGCGACCTATAAAAAAAAAAATTTTTTTTTGAAAAAACGTTTTTTTGAAATGTAAAATACATAATACATGAGTGATATGTTTTTTCATAAAATATTATCTCTAATTCTATTGCTTTACGTAGCATGTTGACCTCAATATCATCCAGTGTTGGACAATGACAATATCAAATGTCATATGATATGTTTATCTATGATATAGAATATGCCATATATAAAATCATGCCATATTATTATACGTATGACATATCATATGATATTGTGATATGACAATTCATATAAGTCATTTGAGTCATATGGCATCATTAGATATTAATTAAACCATTTCTATTTATAAAATTAGAGACAAATTATTTGCAATCTATTAAAGTCAGTTAACGCACCAAAATAAAATCTATTATTACTTTTCAAATTTCAATATTTTTTTTGCATTCATGAGACTTCATAAGTCATGGTTATAATGCAGCCACTCTGGATATAGCGAACCTCTATATAACGAACTCTGAAATCATGAACTCAAAATTTAAAATTTCATAATGATTCGGCATAGAAAGTGCTATAGATCCTTAAAAAAACATAGTACAGTCAGACTTCTCTAAGTACACGCCCTTAAGACCACACTTTAACAACGTGCATTTAGAGAATAATAAAGAAAAATGCATTTATAAAGGTTGAGTATATATTTAGACTAGAATCTGAGTGTGAATTTAAAGAGGGTGTGCACTTATTAAAGGTGCACTTAGGGAGATTTGACTGCAATTTTCTATAACGAACTTCTGTTTTCTTCTAGAACCGTCAGCTTATTTTTAATACAATTACTGCAATCCTTCAAACATGAGAAGCCTAATATTTTGTATTGTTATATAAAAACAAATTAAATTATAATGTGTTGTGTAACTAGTAATCACATCGATAAGTCATTGAAACATCATCGGCTTAATTGACTAAGTTGTTTAGGAGCTGCATTCAAAACATTTTCTTATTATTGGTTAGATCAGATGTTTAGTTAAGTCGATCATGAGACGATCACATCGACTGATCAGGATACATATATGTAAACTTTCTCACGATTGGTTAATTTTATTCAATTGAATTTATATATGTAGTTTAGAGTACTTTTATTCCTTAACATAGTAAATTTTTTTTAAAAAAGTGTAATCCTTGTTTATAATACTACAAAAGATTCTTTATGAACTAATTTTTAAGTATTTTAGAATTTATTTTATTTATTTTACTTAGAGATAATTTTTAAGTTAAAAAAATAATAAGAATTCCTAATTAATTTACAAAATGTGAGTTAATTGGTTTGAAAAAAAGCAAGCTTGGAAGTAATAATATGTAATTATATAGTAAACATATATTAAACCAGATTATAAACATTCAAAAACTTATTTAGATATAAAGAAATTATTTGGTAAGCAAGTTTATATTTTAAAATTTTAAAATTAATATATTTAAAGTTAAGTTTTTAGTATTATTTAAGAATGCAATAAAAAGTTTAAATGTTTATTAGTTTATTTTATTTTTTTTTAAATAATAAATAGGTTTTAGTTTATCTATTTATTATTATAATTAGTTAATTTGCAAATCATATACAAACTAACCAATCAAAATTCTTTATTTATTATAAATAATCTAATATTTTTATTATATAAGGTTTTTGCTGTAAAAATAATTTTATGAAATTATAACTGTTTATAAAATAAAGAATGATTATGCAATATTTGTATTATAGTAATTGTTTCTAATAATTAGGTTAAAATATCTGTAATAGCAGTCACATTAGTATTATTAACAGGTTATAGGGCATCTGTGTAAGTATTGCATTATACAAAAAAATGTAAACTAATATTAAATGATACAAACTTTAAATAAGTTCTTGTAATTATATAAATTTGTTAAAATTAAGAAACAAAAAGTTTATTTCAAAAGATCTGAATAGAAAAATAATATAAATCTTCAATAATATTACTATAAAAACTAATCTTAAAAAACAAATATCAATGTTAAAGTATCTAAACAGACAAAAACCTTTGAGTTAAAGGTCTTGAGAATACTACTAACCAGGTTACTAAAACAAACCAAAGAAAAAAGATATTGGGTTAATCTGATATATTAATAGACTAGTTATAGTTCTACTAAATTATCTAAATTAAAAGTTTGAAAAACAAACAGAAATATATTAAAGTAATTTGAATATACTGTAAAATAGATACTAGGATTTGAGTAAACTCTATAAAGACATAGTAGTTTAATAACTAGCTCTAACTACAAGTGTTGATCCTGCTATAGTGATATCAGATTAGCTATAAAAATATATATAAAAGGTTATAAGTAATTTATCTTAAAAATAAAATAGTTTTAAGATTAAGATAATGACCTGAGTATGATCTAATAATATTAATACAAATGCAAGTTTAGAAGATTTAAAATAAAACACTCAAGCAGAGATATTAAATATGATAATTAATAGAGAACCTTTAGATAGACTTTTTAAATCGATAATATAGAAAAGTTACATATTATATATAACTAATTATATACTTTTTCTGTAGTAGTTTATAGAATCATATTACTAAAAAAGTTGTTAATAAATGTTAAAAGATCAAAAAGATTACCTTAATATCAAAAAAACTCTCAATATTAATACTTTTTATAAATTTATCTAAAAAATAAAGTTTATTTTTTTATAAATCTATTTTTTATAGAACAGATATCTTATTTTTTTATTTAAATATTATAGTTATATATAATTAAATTTTCTAGTTTTTGGTTATAATTAATTGTGTAAAACCTTCAATATTAGTTATATAAAAGATTATAAAATATTATAATTTTATTTTTTAAATTCATCTTAATTAATTTGATATTAACTAATATAAAATTTTATACATTTAGTTTTTTTTTTTTTGGTATTAAGGTGAGGTCTTACTTATATCTTTATTAATAATTTAAAATAGTTTTATGTATATATGCTATGACTGAGGCCAACATTTGCAGTTAGGGCTAACCATTAAACTGCTAATTATACAGCTACTACTATTTGTACAAAACAAATAAATTAAAATTTACATGCAAGAATAAAAGCTCAGACTAATTTATCTGTGACCTAAACCTACTAGAGTGGTCAAAGCTCACCTAAATTTGAATGTTTAGTATATAATTTGATGATATGCTATATTTGATCCATAGAATAGACTAAATGTTAATTTTATGAATTGCTTGGCCAATAGGAGGACATGTGTTAGAGTGGATATGTAGTAGATTTAAAAGTTCACAGAGGCATGAGTAAGTATAGTTTCTATAAAAACATGTATGCCTAGTTGCTAAGTTAAATGATATTGAAGGTTTGTTGATTGGTTGAGATTGAGATATGTTTTATTGTTTTTTTCAATTAGAAAAATGAATGCAATATGTTTTTCATAATTGTTCGTATAATTGTTTATTAATATTGAAAAGAATATCGATAATAACTTGGGAGGCAGTTTTATATGATATGTTAAAGTTTTGAACTGTTGATATGAGTGACTTTGGAATAAGTTCTTTGAAAGTAAGATTAGGATAAAATGTGTTAGGTAAAATGTATAAGGGATTAAGAGCTGGATAATGAAGAATTTTATGAATTAGGTCATTTTTTTGATAAGTATCAAGATCTGATAATTTGCTGGAGATAATTTGATTGGTAAATGTTTGAATAATTTGGTTAAGCAAAAGTGTATAAGTACAAGTATGCTAGTAAGAATGAGAGTTAGCTAGGTTACAGTAAAAGCAATTAGTATCTGGATATAATTTGGATAAATAGTATAAAATAGTTGATATGTTGATACCTTATTAAGAAGAGTTTTGATTTTAAAGGATTTTAGTTGGTTAAGTCTAAAATTAGTAATATTGTAGGAAGGTTTTTGATTATAATTAAAATAAAGCCAAGTGGATCTCTAGTCAATATTCTGATTGAAGTATGACTACTTACTATTATGTTTTTGTGATGCCTATATAGCTAGTATGTAGGCTTTACATATTTGCTTAATAAAATATCTTGTAGGAAGTTCTATATAATATTGCTCTTATTGAAGAATATGGTAAGGATTATAAAGGTTTGTATAATTAAATAAAAGAAGTAGTGATAATAGATGTTGTTTAGCAAGAAAGTTTGCTTGCTTATTAAGATTATTATCTGAATGAGCTTGTATTTTGTGAAAGATGATTTGTAATTTGTGTGATTTAATAATATTAGAAAGAGTATGCCAAATTAGCTATAAGTTGAATTTAAATAACTTATTAGGATTATTTAAGTAAAGTTAAAGATTATTAAATTTGGAGATTACTGATTAAGAATCAGTAAAAATATTAACTACTGAATTGCATAGAGCTGTTGAGATTGCAGTAATAATTGAGAAAAGCTCAGCTTTGTATAATGAGAACCAAAATTGTATTTTAGCAGAAAAAAAGTTAATAGTTTGATTATTATTATCAACTTGGATCCAACCGATACCTATTGTGCATTGATTAGTACCAATGTTGATTACTGAACTATTAGTATAAAAGAATAGTTGTTGGTAAGAATGGTTGAGTTGAGAAATAGATATAAGTTTGTTAGTAGTTTCACTTGGAATAAAGATTTCTGAGGCAATTGAGTTGGAAATAGGAATTGTAGATAGAGGAGGAATATAGATTGGATGCTTGACAGCTGTAGAGCAGATAAGGTCTAAGTAATTTGCATTGAGGTTGAGTTGGTGTTTGGAATTGGTTCTTTCAAGAAATTGTGTTGAAATAATTGCAAAAACTTTAACAGTACAAGTTTGGTTAATTCTATAAGAATTAAGGTGACATCCTATATATCGTTTGTATTCAGCAGGAAGTAAAGGGTAGAATTTTGAGTAATTTAAGTCTATATTAGAAGTTCAGTAAGTAATGGAGTAATGCTTAGATGAGGGAAAGTATTTTCATATTTTCCAATAATAATTTCTTCATTGTGATATGAAAAT